GAACCATAACCGTAACATTTGTAATATTTAATGTTGATGGACCTCTCATCTACGTAGTGAATATAAAGCGAAACCCGATTCCAAAAAATAAAAAATAAATTATATAAAATAATAAAATGCGAAAAAGAGATCACTGTCGGCTAGTACCAAGCCGGCAGTGATGGCTTCAACAACACTGCCGGTTTGAGCTACGAGCCGACAGTGTTGCTGAACTTATCACTGTCGGTTTGCATGTTAAGCCAGCAGTGATGTCTGAGCAACACTGCTGGTTCAAAGCTCAAGCCGACAGTGTTGGCTTGAGCATCACTGCTGGCTCGAGCCACAAGCCGGCAGTGTTGCCTTGAGCATCACTGTCGGCTCGAGCCACAAGCCGTTAGTTTTGGCTTGAGCATCACTGTCGGCTTGAGCAACAAGCCGGCAGTCTTGGCTTGAGCATTACTGTCGGCTTGTACCACAAGCTGACATTGTTTGGTTGAGCATCACTGTTGGCTCGTACCACAAGCCGACAGTGTTGGCTCAACTGACACTGCCGGGTGGTGCTAGGAACCGATAGTCTTGCCTGCACATCACTGACGGTTCTGAGTACCGGCAGTGATGTGAACCCCACGTCACTGTTGGTTCAAAATCCGGCAGTGAAGCGAGACTTTGAACCGACAGTGATGTCCTGATCTGGGTAGTGGTGTTAGCCCCGAGCAACAAGGATCTGAGTCGCTTGGGTGTAGCCTACTCATCATAATAGGTAACTACGTACAGGCAAAGTGCACTACACAAGCTTGGATATGCAAACTAATGTAGGCAATTAAACAGACCCTGTACCAACGACACCAATGACAGATTGGGTTTGGGACATACATTTTGAAATGGATTGACGAGGTCAATTGTCTTGCCATGCATAGAACGAAAATAACTAGATCACTGCCGAAGTTCACGTATACCAACCAATCAGCATGCATGTTCCACGCTAGCTAGAAAGCTAATAATAACCAGGTAATTAAGCTCTGCATTAGGCACCACGTACAATTAATTACTTCAAAAAAATCTTTGCATCACTTTGCTACTAGTAGCAATTATATACATAAATATAAATAATAGACTAGTACTAGATCACGCTGCTAGTATTAACAAATATTTAAATAGTTATTGCGACATGCCGCACTGGCGCTAAGCACTTGTACTTAGCACCTTTTATAATAGTACTCCTATTACTACACTACAAGTGCTAATTATGAGTGTGTGTGTGTGTGTATATATATATATATATATATATATATATATATATATAATTTATTTATTATATATTATGTGTTGCTTATCATTATTTACACCATAACACATGAAGTAATCATGCTCTAACAGAAACTAATCCAGGCTAATTGATAAGTACAACTCATTAGAAAAAACAAAATTTTAATTAGTCTAATCCAAGCAGGACCTAATCTATTTTGAGCAACCACGGTCCATGAACCAAACCAGAATATGGCTCCGTTCGCTTCGCTGAAAAAATAAGCTAAAATATTATTCCTGTTGATTTATCGTGAGAGAAAAAATATTATTTTAGCTAAAAAATAAACTAAAAATATGAATTATAAGAGAAGTGAAAGGTGCAAAAACAGGCGGGCTGGCGCGGCAAGCCGCGCCTACCATCCCAGTTATAGTATTATCAGCTAGCTACTAGGAGCATCTGACGTGAACTATAGTATATGGGGGCGCAATTATCAATGCGCTCGAGATTATACATGCATGTTGGACCGTATCCGCGACCTATATTATATATGTACATATATACATATACATATTTTTTTTCTTATTCTTATCTGTAATGTGACGGCTCCCTGTCTGCTTAGCACATGCATGGGCATGCACACACCTAGCTCTCTCTCTCCCCAGATCCAGCCATGCATGCATCCTGCAGGGAGCCCTTCTTAATTAACTGAGTAGTTGCATGGTTTAAAACTGGATCAGATCAGATCTCATCGCACTAGCAGGTTAATTAGATAGTGCATGCATGATACATGTGTTAATTCCAAGGGATGATGTGAGTCACATGTACTTCATGCATGTATGTGTAGTAGAGTGCTTGTGGATGCTGCTAGCTTATACTCCGTATACTTTAGTTCAGAGGAAGTTCGGTACGAAATAAAGCAGCAAATATGCTTGTGGATGTAAATATATACCACGAATATTAATTAGATCTGCACACACATTATCTGACTATTCGAGTGAAATAAAAGAACTAATACTAGGTGCTAGGTACACTTGGAAGATTATCTAAGCATAAACAACATCGTGGCACGAGAAACTCCCGCATTCCCAGCAGATCATCGGGGTAGAATAGAAAAGCGTAGAGAGCCATTTAACCAAGGGATTAGAGCATCTCCAACAGATTACTTATTATACCAACCCTAGCTAATAGTACAAAAAAGCCATCATATAAGGGATTAAGATTGCTCTAGTAGATTACTTGTCATATCCCCAATATATGCCTAAAATTTATAAGTAACTAATACTCAAAACTCACCCTCTCCCTCTCTCAAATGTATAGGTGATCCATCACCTCCCCCCATCCATCCAAAAAGAGTATTGATAATATGCTGGAGGAGAGGGGGAAAACTACAAGACCAATAATAGGAGATCACCTATATAAATTTTAGGAGAAAGGGAATAGGTAATCTAGCGGAGATGTTCCTACATTCTTTTCTTCCAAATCAGAGAGAAAATATGGGACGATGCAGCAACCTCCTTGACCTGCTCATCTCTCTCTCTCTCTCTCTCTCTCTCTCTCTCTCTCTCTCTCTCCACCTCTTCCTCTATTAGCATAGCTCCAACAGGCATCGCTGAACATAACATGAGCATTAAAGATCTGAGTATTCATGATAATGGTTGGGTGATCATCACGAAGTAACAATGAATTTATTCATAAAAGCATAACAGAGCACAATGTGCACAATAGGGAAATGACATGGGGAGCTATATACAATAAGAACCAAGATGTCTCATTCATCTTCCCATTGGGAATGCTTATTTGAAGACGCCTGATTCTTAGGTGACCTAGCCGCCCGAACACAGTCGTTCTTCCTCTCGCACCCCGTGTGCTTGTCCGTGTGCATGTGTGTTCATCTCTCCCCCTTTCACCCTACTTGGTCCCCTAGAGCTTTGCCATTTTGTATATATATCGTACTCCCCTCCATTCCAAATTACACTACTACAGAAATCTTAATGGAGGCGGGCATTGCAAACGCCTCCAATCAAAGATCACGGTTAATCGTGACTTTACGGAGGCGGTTACCTTGCCAGCCACCGTTAATCCTTTAACGGAGGCAGGAGCATTAAGATGCCCGCCTCCGTTAATTAATTTAAAAAAAATAAAAAAACCTAGCGAGCCCAATCGAGCCCGCTGTCGTCGTCGCGTCCGCTAGATCTGGGCGCCCCTCCTCCTCGCTGGATCTGGGCATGGCCGTGGGAGAGCCCGCCGACCACCCGCCGCCAAATCCGGACGCCCGTCGATAGATCCGGTCGCCTGCCGCCGCATCCGCCCACCTGCCGCCGCGAGAAGGAGGGGGTGCGCGCCGACCAGAGTGGTAGAGGAGGAGCGTGCGCCGGCCGGAGGAGGAGCAAGCGCCGCCAGAGGAGGTGCAAGCACTAGATCCGGCCTCTCCGGCCACGCCACCGCTGGATACGACCTTCCACGCGCCGCCGGTGCCGGATCCGTAGGGGTAAAGGAGCGTCGTGCCGGGGTGGAGCCGCACCGTGGGAGGAGCAACGCGCCGTGGTGGGGCGCCGCGCGCCGCGCCGTGGGAGAAGGAGGGAGGGAGTGCGCTGCCGTGGAGCCGCAGCACACCGTGGGAGAGAGGGGGGACTGCGTGGAAGAGGAGGAAGAGGGAGAAGGAGCCGCGCGGTGGTATGGGAGAGGAAACGAGGAGAGGAGGAAGAGATATCGCGTGGGGGCGAGGGAGCGCCGTTGGGAGAGGGAGTCGGCTGAGGAAGAGAGAGTGAAGGAAGAAACTATAACTTCCTCTATTTATATGGAAGACGGTTATCAGGCCTCGTCTGGGCCTGTTGGACCTCAGCCATTTTAGGAGGCGGGCCTTATAGTGTGCCCGCCTCCAAAAATCGATTTATGGAGGCGGGCACCTTAAGACGACCGCCTCTAAAAATATACTATTTTTGGAGGCAATTGTCTTAAGTCGCCGCCTTTGTAAATCGATTTATGGAGGCGGGCACCTTAAGACGACCGCCTCTGAAAATATGCTATTTTTGGAGGCGGTTTTCTTAAAATGCCCGCCTCCGTAAATCGATTTTCCGAGGCGGGCAAAAGTGCCCGTCTCGTTAAATAAAAAATACCCGTCTCCGTTAATCGTAGGCATTAACCGCGGCGGTTGGATTTTGTGACCGCCTCCATTAATAAAAGGGCAGCGTCTTGCAAAATCATTTGTGTAGTAGTTTTATAAATAGCTACTTGCAAAGCAGTAGCGAACAAGTTAATATTTTGGAGCAGCAGATGAAAACCCATGGTCCATCCATGGATGTCAGCGCGCCAGCCATGCTCTTATTTTTTCCCCATTACATTCCTCTTTTCCTAGCTACTCAATGAATTTAAAGAAACAGGAGAGCCACCATTCCAAGTGCAACAGCAGCCGCCACTTGTGTGAAGAAAAAGAAAAGAGCCAAAAAAAAAAAAGGGTTTGCACTTTACAGTACCACCACTTGTGACGGGCATTGAAAGGCTGGTGATGGGTCCACGTGCACCTCCAAATGAAACGGCTACCCCCTCCCTCGTCTCGTCTGTCCCCACTCCCCAGCCACCCATTTAAACCAGAGCACTCCCGAGGCCTCCTCGTCCTCGACCAGCCCGCCCGACCCTCCCATCTCCCAACGCCGCGACGCCTCCGCCGGTCCGCCACCCGTCTACTCCCAGCCTCCCCACTCCCACCGCCCACCGGCACATCCGCGCGCGCGACCCCTCCCTCGTCCCCCTTCCCCTGTCCCACCCGCACGCCGGAATGGCTGCGGGCTCGTCCACGGTCTGGGCCGCGCACCACCACGCCTGCAGCGGCGGCGGCAGGTTCCACCACCCGTCGCCGTCCCACTCCCACCACCACCGCCCGCGCCGCGTCCTCCTTCCCCCACCGCCGCCGTTCCCCGCGAGGCGGGGCGGCGCGTCGCTCGCGCGGCCGCCGCGCGCCAGTCTCGTCGCCGCCGCCGCGCCCGCGGTGGCGGTGAGGACGGCGTCGGAGGAGGCCGTGTACGAGGTCGTGCTGCGGCAGGCGGCACTCGTGAAGACCGCGGCGCCGCAGCGGCGGCGGACGACGCGGCGGGAGCAGCCGCGGTGGGCGGAGGAGAAGGAGGAGGAGGAGGGGGTCGTTGGCTGGGGCCTCCTCGGCGACGCCTACGATCGCTGCGGCGAGGTCTGTGCCGAGTACGCCAAGACCTTCTACCTCGGTCTGTGCCACTGCCGACCACACCCCACTGCTGCTCTCCTCCTTCTTCAGTATCAGTAGTGCTGCTGTTAACAATTTAATATCAATCTCTTCATTGCATACTTATAGTACTAGTTGTCTAGTACAGTAGTAGTAGAATTTAATTAACAGGCCAAATGGAAGCCAAGTGGAGACATTTTGTACCTAGCGAACGCGATTCTGGGGTAGTGCGTGCGATTGAGGGAGTCTAGTGAGTCTCAGTCTTTTCACTGAATAGTTTCTTAAGAGTGTGATTAGTGCGGCAACCCACATGAGGGAGGATCTCAGGACTCTCGGTAACTGCACATGTTTCCAGTTGATACACAAGATCGTGCCGACCTCGGTAGGTAACAAGAAGATAGTGTGCACGTGGGTGCTGGGTGCCATCTTCTATGGCTCTCTCTCAAGGGGACAAATAATCAATCAGTCCTAACGTCTGTCTGCTTTCTATTTCCTGGGTGTCGAATTGTGGCCGACTACTGGCAACTGATATAAGTAGGTTCCTTGAATAAAGTTATCTGGTTATGGCTGGATTGGTTGGCGGGGGCTTTAGGTGATTTGGAGACGCATGGGCTTGATTTAATCCCTTGTTTTCTACTTCTTTTAAGGGCACTCTCTAGATCTCTCTGATCTCTATAACTGAATTGTTTTTCTATTGCCTTGACCATATGGGCCTATGGGTAGCAGCAGGAAGCTGCTTCATGATTAATACTGAGATTTGGTCATTCTGATATCATTTGTATTTTCTTTTCTTTTTGCAAGGATATGATGTATCTTGTCGTGGCTCATGTTTTCCTCCGTTTACCTGTCAGGCACACAGCTCATGACTCCTGAGAGGCGCAAAGCCGTCTGGGCGATCTACGGTACGATTTATGCTGCGGGTTTACTTATCTCATCGGACATCGCTTGTGTCGAAACTAACATTGTCGTTCTTGTTTGTGACGCCGTTGATTCTTAAGCAACATATGTTTTCTTTCCCTTGTGCAGTGTGGTGCAGAAGAACTGATGAGCTAGTGGACGGTCCTAACGCATCTTACATCACGCCGACTGCTCTTGATCGCTGGGAGAAGCGATTGGAGGATCTCTTTGAAGGGCGCCCATATGATATGTACGACGCCGCCCTCTCAGACACAGTGTCAAAGTTTCCTGTTGATATTCAGGTAAATCCATCCACCAACTGAAATTACCACAAAACGTCTGAAGATCTGCTAAGAGTTACTGGATACTAGTACATTTAGCAATTACTGCAATTCACTCATGATGTTCTGCAACGTCCACAATTTCTTTCGTTTCCAGCCGTTCAAAGATATGATCGAAGGAATGAGGCTGGACTTATGGAAGTCGAGGTACACGACCTTTGATGAGCTCTACCTCTACTGCTACTACGTCGCTGGCACGGTTGGCCTCATGACAGTTCCTGTCATGGGCATTGCCCCCGACTCCAAGGCCTCAACTGAGAGCGTGTACAATGCTGCACTGGCTCTTGGCATTGCTAACCAGCTGACGAATATTCTCAGAGATGTAGGCGAAGAGTAAGTACTGGCTTTATCCACAACTAAGCATATAATTATACTACATCTGTTTGATACGGCGCCCACTAAGTTTTTATATCAAACACTTGTGCGATACAGTCTAGTCCAGGATTTAATATTCAAAGTGCTAGAGGCGTACTGTATTTTACTGTCTATTTGTTTGTCAACAAGGAACATGTGAGCCTGTCGCTGTTCAGAATTTTTTTTTTTTGTTTCTTGATTGTGATGTAGTTTGTTTGTTGTTGTGGATGGAATTTCAGTGCGAGGAGGGGGAGAATATACCTTCCCTTGGACGAGCTTGCACAGGCAGGTCTGACAGAAGAGGACATATTCAGAGGGAAAGTGACAGATAAGTGGAGGAGGTTCATGAAGGGCCAGATTCAGCGTGCCCGGTTGTTCTTTGATGAGGCTGAGAAGGGCGTCGCCCATCTAGACTCTGCTAGTAGATGGCCGGTATGTGAGCGTAGAAGTTCTCTCTCTTTTATATGCCTATGATTTAAATTTTTCAGGAGAACCGGGTGTTCTTTTACAGGCTCTGAATCGCTTACCCTTTATTTGGACAATTCTTTGGTTGCACAGGTTCTCGCTTCTCTGTGGCTGTACAGGCAGATCCTTGATGCCATTGAGGCAAACGACTATGACAACTTCACCAAGCGTGCGTACGTCGGCAAGGCGAAGAAGCTGCTGTCATTACCGGTTGCATATGCAAGGGCAGCTGTTGCGTCATGAACCATCCCTAGAGCAGATTTTTTTTTCTTTTCCAAACCCACTTTGTTTTTCCACCCTTTTCATTTTTTGCTCGGTCTCTTGGCTGTTGTATATAATCAGCTTCAGCTGCCTGCATGGCATAAGCCTTGCCTGTCACACACAGTTCTTAGTTCAGGGGACTGATTCCATGTCCCTCAATACTCGGCTCTTGTTACCACAAGGAATGAAGAATTAGAATTCGAGAAGCATACTTGTCATGGATAACTGATCTCTGTGCATTTTTCTTCAGAATTCAGGCTCACCAGCTTGATTACTGTCTGAAGTTCTGAACCTCAGGCTTTTTCAGGTGTTCTGTTTTGGGTAAAATCAGTGACTTTAATCTTACATTTCTCGAAGTAATGACAGATGGCGTCAACACAATACTAACATTTTTAACATGATGGCCTAAGGCCCTGAACAAGTTTGGCTCTAGTTCTTGGCGACTGCCTAAATTGGCACCTCTAATCCCTTTCTTGACTGGTCTGCTCTGCATTTGGTTTAGACCTGTGGTGAGGGCTTGTGGCTATGCAGCTCAGACTGCAGTAGCCGAGAGCCATGGAAGTGTGCACGTGCTGCGAGTGGCACCCATGGCTGGGAGAGAGGCCACATTGTCGTCCACATCTGTGATAGATACACCAGCGTGTGAACCGGCCAGCCTGACTTGCAGGACCAAGGATGGTGAAAGCTGAGCTGCACCTGCTGACTGTGTCCGGTTTTTCACCTCCAACTCCGAATACCGGACACAGAGCACCGTGTACAGTATATATACTGGAAAATTAGGTAATTGAACGATTCAATACTGAATTGAAAACATGTCGACAATACTAACTAGCACACATCTCTCTAACATAAATGATAGAAGGAAAAATAGCATCATGAACTCAGTTAAAATGATTAAGGATCACACAGAACTTCAGCAGCAGAACCCACAATCTATACAGCACCACATCACAAAACCTGGTAAAGAACATACTACCGAAGCTAAAACAGCATAAGCTGTTTGAGACCACCCTCCAACAGTTTTTTACAACACATCTAAACACTTAAATACCACTTTGCAGTGTTAATACCGCGGACGTACAAAAAGCACAAAACCGTATCATGCACCTATGCTGCCAAGCCAGAAGAATAGGGGGAACTGTGCTATTGCCATGAAGAGAAGGAAGTAATGCTGTCGCGACGAGTGCCTCTCGCTGCTTCTCATCTCCGTGAAGAGCACCCTCTTCATCGTCCTCACCAGGAACACTCCCATGCACAGGCTCATCCACGGCATCATGACATAGTACGAGTATGCCCATACGAGCCTTGCAACGACAGCGAGTGAAAGCCCAGCAAATAAATAGCCGCCATATGCTACCAAGTCGAGCAGTGGCACCTCACCCCCACCCATTGAGTAGAGCAGACCTTTCAGGAGCATGAGCTGGAAGCCCCATCCGATGAGTGCCCTTGTAAACTGCAGATTTATAGCTTCTGGAGTAAACCTGCACAAGTATCATGTAGAATCAATTAGAGACATTAGGTCAGAACCATTAGGAGATTGAAGAACAATTGTTTGTCAACAACTCACTTTCCCATGAAACCTAGTGTAAACCCTGAAAGAATGATGAAGCTTCCAAATGCCATGAAAGGGATGTACAGATCTGGCGCATTTATGTCATAGATTGGAGGTTTGTAGGACAAACGGCCACCAACTGGCTCACTTATTCGGGTCCAGTGCCCCTGCAAATATATTAAGGAAATGCAGGTTTATCATGGCAATCTAGATTGAGGAACCAGATTTGTGTACAATGTTATTAGGAAATACTATGATTTACCCTGTGAAAGAATGGAAACAGTATAATTTTCAACTTGTTCCGGACATATTGATCATTCACATGGAAGTAATACTGTGGGTTGGAGAAGTATCTATTGATCTGCAAGAGTTGAACCAACAACTTAGAGAGAATGAAAGCAACAAAAATAAAGTATAAGTTTTGTTGGAGGATCCATACGTTGCTTTGCATGAATTCTGAACTAGAACCGAAGAACTTCTCGCCATATACTCCTATCCCAGATCTGATTAGACCTGAGCTTGCACCGTATAATGGATTGTCAAACTGGACAGGTTGAGAGTTCTGCGGGGGCATCTGCATCCCTGGAGGATTCCCGTAATTATTATACATGGCTGCAGTGAAGAAGCAGAGGTAAAAAAAAGAGTTAGACCATAATTATAGTATGATAATTCATAACAGAGACTTGACATATTTGCGACCAACAAATAAATGAGGATAGCACGACATGAGCATGATGTTACATAAATCGCAGTTAAATATACGGGAGCTATTGATGTCATTGCTAAGGCAGAAAGTTCTTCTGTAGTTTTGCTTAGTCCCCAATCATATCATCATAAAAATAATTACATGCACCAATCTGTAACAAGAGATATAAAAAAATGGACGCAAAACGATAATGGAATTATTCTACATTCTACACTATAATGTAAGCAGATAATTTACAAACTGCAAAGATAATTGAGAAATTACACAGATCATCTCCTTGAAGTATAAGCAAATATAAAATCAACTGGAGTTGAACTCCATTTACAGAGTCCAACTAATGTACTTGTGCACCGTTGACCTTTTGTAAAAAAGGGGTGATACCAATCAAGATCGTGTTCTAAGGTTAGCATCACGTGTGCATTCCATTTATCAATAACTACAAGCAAAGCAACCACCCTCGTTGAAATGTAACGAAGCAGAAGCAGCTAGGCATATATTCAGCTAAGTGTTTGCCCGCAATAACATACTAATGCTGATTTTCGTAGAAACAGAGAAATAGCAAACTATTCTTTGGTCTTTCTTTTCTGTTTAGCTCATGAAGGAGGCAAACAAGAAGCAGTGCGTGTAATAAATATCGAAATTCCTTGTTAGGTCTATTGCTAGAGCACGCGGAATTACATAAACAGAGATATGAAAATGTTTTTCGCTCTACAATTAATAAAGCAGCAAATCTCTGCCAGTTTTCCTTGGATCATACCTAGGCACTTCCCCTGTTCCAAACTGTATGTCTTTTTATTAAATTTGTCCTAGCCTCACCAAGTTTATAGAAAAACCATGAACAGGTAAGAAGCTACAGTTTTGTAGAATCCATAAACATTCAAACCATGTTTTAGGGGAAAAACAGGTACAGGTGGATAGAGTTTTTAAAATTTCAAACAGGCTATAGTTTTAGCAAATAGTATGGTTTCCGAAACTACAAACTCTGTTGCATCCAAACGCTTCATTCATAGCGCTCCAAAACCATGGTACTTGTAACAATAAATAAATTCTATATGCATACAAACAGGGCCTGATCTGTTCTGTTTTGCAGCACCCACACCTCGATTGGGTTAGGCCCCACAGATTCCTGTTCCAGGGGTCCAGGGCCCGTGGGTTGACCCAAGGCCGGTTGATCTCTCTCCCGCGCTGAAGAGCGGGGAGAAGAACCTAACCGAACGGAAAAGAGGGATTGGTGGGCGGACTGATCCTAATTTCGCAGGGCACCCGGCACCCACGAACGAACGCAGCGAAGCGGAACGAGAGATTTGGGTCCGATTGAGCGAGCGAGGAACCGGCTCGGGAATCCGGATCCACGCGAAATAGTACGGCGACGACTTACTTGGGTGAGCCGACGGAGGCGCGGCGGGCGGAGAGGGAGGGAGGCGGCCGCCGGAGACGCGTCGGGAGTCTCTGCCTGCGCCTGCTGTCCGCGGTGCGGGTTCCTTCCTCCCTGCCCTCCCTTTTGTGGCGGTGGGTCCACTCGGTCGAAGGGAAGGAAAACTGTTTTGGTGGGTCCGGGTTCTTTTTCTTTTCCGTTTCCTCTCTGCCTGCGTGGCCGCGATGACGTGTCCTCACGAATCAGGGTCACGGCTTTCTGCGATGCCTCGTCAGGCCCACTGGTTGTCGTCGGCCCGTCCCACCCTCCGTTAATCATTTGGACCGGCCGCACGGAGGCAGCAGCAGGCTCAATCAAGGCTCGCTGAAGCCCACGAGCCCAAGCTCCCGCTTCTTTCCGCTCCATTCCGTTCAGGGCCGCAACAGACTTGAGCGGACGAGCCTGTTTGCTTCATCGGCTGAAAACTCGCTTGGCCCAGGCAAGCGCGTCTGATTTTGGACCTGGGTTCGGATAGGCTGCCTGCCTGGCCGGTGTTGTCGGGGGCTGCTATGCGTCCGAAACCATCGCTGCCGACCCCTCTCCCCTGCGTGCTCGCGATGATGGTCCACAGCAACGCGCGACGGCCCAGCGGCAGCCCAGGTAGAGCTCGCGGTCCGCGCATTTGACGCCAACGTAGGTGCGTATTTCGTGCCGTTGGTTTGGTAGTTGCAGATTTTTTTTTCTTTTTTGCTTTTCTTTTTTATTCCTGTCTACTATTTATTTTTTATTTTTCTTTCTTTTCATATTTTATTATTTTTAATTTTTCTTTTATTTTATTCTATTTCTTTTTCCTATCCTTTCTTTGTTTTTCTTTTTTTGGTCATTTATTATTTTTTGTTTCCTTTTTCTATTTTCAATTTTTATTGTATGTTTTCTTTTCTTTTCTTTTTTCAATTTTTTGTTTTCTTGTTAGTAGTTACCTTTATTAGCGTAGGAATGACTTGACAAATCGGGTATAGTGCGGCCTCTGTCCCCTTGTGTATAGGCTGCGCGTCATTGTGCCATCGGAAAGGGGGGCTCTACATCTCTTTGCCAAGTGAATCTAATGGCCCTAACTTGTTAGACGAACCTTTGAAAGGCTTCATAGTGAATCCTGCCGATCTTCCTTGGAAGTGGGTCAAGAGATTAGCTACCTCGGGCGAAAGGATAAATCACAACTCACAGTGAAAGTGTACGACCTCTGCAGAGTGTAAAACTGGTATATCAGCCGTGCTCACGGTCATGAGCGGCCTTGGAACCCTTACGGAATAGATGATGACCACTGATGATACTAATGATAAAGATACCCACTAATGATTATCGTTTTTGCTATTTATTATTCATGTTTACTTGATCATGTGTTTATATAGGCTTGTGGTAAACTTGTTGCTACTCTTTTGTTAAAATTGTGACAATTAAAAGCTAATCGCAGTAAAACCAGTGTCAACCTTTTGAGCCTCATGAACCACATGTTATATTTGTTGAGTACGACGTATACTTACGCTTGCTTTATTTTTCAATTATTTGGATAAAAATCCTGGGTGGGTACCAGATTACTAGAGTTTGGAGAAATTAGGATTGTGGTCAACCAGTCAGTTGTCCCTGTGGATTTGGAGTCTTTGCCTGAAGATCGGAGTTGTCTTTCCGCTGTCTATACTCTGAGGTTATATTTTTTATACTAATACGTTATGTATTTAAGTATTATCTATTAATATTACCCTTATTTGTAGCTATATGTGAGATTTGACTTTCTGGGCTCATATATAGTGTGTATCTAGTTTTGTCCTTAAAACCGGGTGCTACAACCATGGCTCCTGCAGAGCAAACTAGAGCAAGCTAATTGGTGTGTGCAATTACACGGCTAGAATCAAGAACCTAAGTGTACACTTATATATGTTGCCGCATCCTAATTTACTACCATCCTTTATGCTTTATTTGATATGAATAATTTGAATCTGAGAACTACTAGTGACACATAATGAAGATTTTACCCGTTCATCCGCTAATCCTGCCTCTTTAAATTTATGTTACATATACATGATCTACTTTGTGGGCACTTTTATTTTCTTTGTTTTCCAACCGAATATTTTTTGTAGTAAAGTTATGGTCCATCAATATATTCCACCACTAACTTATCTTCACCCATTACACTACTATGTGTATAGGCTGCTTGATTGGCTCCTCCACCACATCCTACTGCACAAAGTGAGCCATTGACGATGACATGGATCTAACAATGATCCATGTAGGAGCATGTCTCGTCATAGCAATTTTGTTTCTCAGCACTAAAATGACCATCCCGCTAGGAAGAAGAAATCTGAACAAAAAAGGATCAGCACTTCCACCTATGGTGAGTGGGGTTTCACTGATTGCTTGTCTACCTACACTCCAATCCAGGGGTCTCCGTGCTGTGATCCATGGTCTGCACACAAAGCTGGGTACCGTGTTCACGATAAGCATCTTTGGGGTGAAGAAGGTGACCTTCCTGGTTGGGCCAGAGGCGATACCTCATTTCTTCCAAGGCTCAGAGTCAGAGATTAGTCAGTCGAATATGTACAAAATCACAGTGCCCGTTTTCGGTCAAGGGGTTATATATGTATGATGTGGACTTGACTACCAGGAGCAGGCAGATCAGTTTCTGCATCGACGCGATAAAGCCGATGAACTTGAGAAGCCTCGTTGATGCTATGGCTCAAGAGGTGGAGGTAATAAGTTATTCACACACACATATATATATACGCAGTTAATTTGGTTTCTTGATGATGTTCTCTGGATTGGATCACGGACCACCTTTGTAATTAATACACAAAATTTGTAGGATTACTTTGCACAATGGGGGCAACATGGCGTTGTTGATCTAAAGCATATGAGATCGCGCACTTGATCCTGCTCATCACAAGTCGGTGCTTGCTTGGAAAAGCATATCCGAGACAACATGTTCGACCAAGTAGCTCCACTCTTCAATGAGCTCTTTGACAACAGCTTCTACTTGATCAGTTTCTTCTTCCCACATCTCCCTATCCCGCCGCATGACCGACGCGACAAATATCGCGCTAAGCTAGGGGATATTATCCACGAGGTGGTGAGGTCACGCAGGAGTTCAGGCCTATCTGAGAACGACGTGCTACAGAGACTCATAGAATCCAACACTAGCAATGGCCGGCCATTGACTGAGAGTGAGATCGCCGGGATACTCGTCGCCTTGGTGGTCGCCGGGCAACACACGAGCTCTAGCAACAGCATCTGGACAGGAGCTTGCATGCTCAGCGATGGTGGAAGAAACCACATGGCAGCCGCCATGGAAGAGCAGAAGGAGATTATCGGACGGCATGGGGAACGCCTGGACTACTGCATCTTGCAGGAGATGGTCACATTGCATTGCTGCATCAAGGAGGCGTTGAGGCTGCACCCTTCATAAAAAATGCTGATGCGTCACGTGAGCAAGGGCTTCAGCGTGCGGTCAAGAGAAGGAAACATATATGGAATCCCCAAGGGACATGCCTTGGTGACATGCACAACGGTGGGCAACAGTCTGCCATACATCTTCAAGGACCCTCATGTATAAGATCCAAGTAGATTTGGTCCAGAGAGAGAGGAGGACAAAGTTGGCGGCAAGTTCTCCTACACACCATTTGGCGCCGGCCGGTAGGCATGTTTGCCCTGGAGAACACTATGCTTACATGCAAATGAAGGTGATATGGAGCCATTTGCTGAGGAACTTTGACCTCGAATTGGTCTCCTCTTTTCCAGAGGAAGAATGGGAAAAGTTGTTTTCAGGGCCTAGAGGTAAAGTAATGGTTAGTTACAAGAGACAGGTGTGTTCTTGAGAGAAATTGCTAGATTGTGTTCTTCTTGAGAGAAATTGTTAGATTGTGTTCTTGTAGCAGTGGATGTAAAGTGTGGTGTGTGTATGTGTATGATGTCTATTGATGTAATAGTTAAAATATAGGTGTGCATGAAGGAATATGTTGAATACATATTGTATCTTAAAGAGAGAACAAAATAGATGTTTAATTTATGTGTGACAGCAAATCAGTAGCACAAAGTGACAAGGATAAAAGTGACAGGTATATATCAAGGTAGCTTGATCTTCAAATATTGTCGTTGAGGTATGTATGTGTCTTGTCCGACACATAACAAGAACAGTTGTCAATCTGGAGAGCACTTGAGTAAGCTGCTTCGAGAGGAGGAAATGATGAAATGATGAATACTATGTGCATGCTAACGTGACGGATCTTCTTTTGGGGACAAAAATACTAAATACTTTCAATTGATGGCAAATAAAAAAAACAAAGAAACAAAAAATTTAGTTTGACCATTAAAATGGTAAGATCGAGGGACAAATAAATTTGAAACCTTTCGTCACTAGTTTGTACGAAGGTTTATTTGGTGAACCAGAGGATAGTTCCATCTCCTTGTTCAGTCAAGGATTATTGATATGATACACCTCAAGTAACCTACATGGAAACTGAATTCTTTGTAGCCCCTTTGACAGAGACAGAAATACAGAACACATTATGTGAGATGAAACATAATAAAAAGCATCAGTTGAATACACAGGCGCATGCGCGTGCACACACACACACTATTTAGAGCCTTGGGCTTTCAATAACTATTGGAAGCCCACACCAAGATCATGACATGCACTACTGGATTCAGGTTCTTTGCAAGGCCAAATTGCACTCGGCAAAGCCTTTGCCGAGTGCGGCACTCGATAAAAAACACACAGCAAAAAATTGATCGGCAAAGCCCTCTTTGCCGAGTGTTTTTTATCAGGCACTCAGCAAAGGCTTTGCCGAGAGCCCCGGGGGCACTTGGCAAAGAAAACGACCGTCACGACACCGGCCCCGTTGACGGTCTCTTTGCCAAGTGCCAACCCTGCAGGCACTCGGCAAAGATTTTTTTTAAAAAAAAAATTCTTTGCTAAGTGCTCCTGACTGGCGCTCGGCAAAGTTTGAATTTTTTTTAAAAAAAAAAATTCTTTGCCGAATACCCTCTGGCTGGCACTCGGCAAAGTTTGAATTTTTTTTAAAAAAAATCTTTGCCGAGTGCCATGGTCATGGCACTCGGAAAAGCTGGAAAAACGGTTTTCCGAGCGCCCATTTTTCCAGCTTTGTCGAGTGCTGTGACCATAGCACTTGGCAACGGGGTCCTTTGTCGAGTGCAACACTCGGCAAAGTGACTCAAAATGGCAATTTTTTTTTACATTCCATCATGACAAATAAATTCATACAAACATATATCACATATATATCTCATCCATCACATATATATCTCATCCATCCACACATCCATCCGCACATATCACATCCATCACAATATATATCACATATATAATAATAAGTGCTCAAGTCCATCCAAATAAATCCACAAGTCCATCAAAGTCC